TTGTCATTTAACTTGATACATAAGGCACACTACAGAAGAGTAAAACGCAAATAAGGCTGTTTTGATTACAACTGGACAACAGGAAAGGAATGTGCTGCACACGAAATAAATAATCTGTTTCTTAAAATACCAAGTTACTGGTTATTAAAAAAGAAGAAAACAAAACAAAAATGAGAGTAAGAGAAACTAATATCAATCCGAAGTCATAAAAAGGAAATTAAAGTACTCAGAATCAAAATAGCTGATTAATTTGATTCCACACTTAAAATTTGGACATAGAAAGCAATAAAGCAAATTTCAACGAAAAAATATCAAGTTGAAGTAAATAAAATATTCTTGTAACAGTAATTCTCCAGTTTACTTTGGGTAGCTGCTCTGTGAAGTTAATTTCATTCTACCTCCTCGGAAGCAGCAGCTCACACTTAGTGATACTCGCTGAAGGCCCCGGGGTCTCAAACTCTGGGAACGAGACAGACAGTCGCTATAGTTTCACATTTTATATATAAGAGTATAACACTTTGAATTACTTTTTGTACAAATTATGAGATTAAGTTGAGGTTCTTTTCTTTTCTTTTTTTTTTTCATTTGCCTATGGATGTCCAACTTTTCTAACACCGTATTTGTCAAATATCCACTGGCCATCTCTGCATGGGTCTATTTGGGATTCTGCCGGTTCCACTGATGAATGGGTCTATCCTTCCACCAATACCACCTGCAGGTAATAAATTCTCTTCATTTTCCTTCATCTGACAATGTCCTTCTTTCACCTTCATTCCTAAAGGACATTTTCTCCTAATACAGAATCTGGGTTGACAGTTTTCTTTCAGCACCTTAGAAATGTCATTACACTTATTGACATTGTTTCTGATGAGGAATCTAGTCATTCAGATCATTATTTCCCTATTAATATTGTGTTACTTTCCTCTGACTTTCAAGAATTTTGGGGGGGAGTAGGGGGTCTTTAGTTTTAAGCAGTTTGATTATGATGTGTCTGGTTATGGCTTTCTTTGTGCTCATCTTGTTTGGGTTCACTTAGCTTCTTAAATCATTGTTTGTCTTTCATCAAATTTGTGAAGTCTTCAGCCATTATTTCTTCAAACATATTTCATGAACCACACTCTCTCCTTTCCTTCTCAGGCTCTTGTGACAAATGTTAAACATTTCAATACTGTCTCATAGGTCCCTGAGGTTCAGTTAATTTACTCACAATCTCATTTGTTTCTGTTCAGACTGATTAATTCCTATTGTCCCCTCTTAAAGTTAACTCACGTTCTTCTGTCATCTCTATTCTGCAATTCAGTCCATTCAGTTTTTATTTTCTAGTCCTAAAATTTCTATTAGTGGTACTTTATCCTTTATTTCTTTTTTGAAACTTTCTGTATTTCCATTTGTTCATGTGGCATATGACCTAAAATTAGCCTGGCTGGTGTGGCTGTGTTTGAGTGTCTTCCCATGTACCAGGAGGTCACGGTTCAATTCCCAGTCAGGGCACATGCCTGGGTTATGGGCTTGATCCCCAGTAGGGGGCGTGCAGGAGGCAACCACTAGATGTTTCTCATCATTGATGTTCCTATCTCTCTTTCCCTCTCCCTTCTTCTGTTTCTGAAATCAATAAAAACATTTCTTTTAAAAAAAGACCTAAAATTAAGTCCCAATATTATGCGCTGCCTAATATCTCAGGACACCAGGTGAACCACAAATCGCCTGACCACAAGTCTCCCTCCCCTCCTTGCTCTCCCCTGTCAACATACCCCCCAGGCCAACAGCCCTCCTTATTGAGGAGACCAAGCACATTCCTGCCAGACCATGGAATTATTCAGACAAGCCAATCACATCCTTCCCTCTTCTCACTGCCAAGCCTGCCACCCACAGCCTGTGTTTTCACTGTTCCTGAGCACAGCCTCTGTGTGGGCCTGCGGGGCTTGTGCTGTCATGCTCCCCTGAGTACACACGACTAAGGAACTGCTAACAACATCTATCCAGGGTCAGGTGTCAGGGGCCTGGCCATCTAGGAAAGGAATCCCTCACCAGCAAGGTGCAGAGGGGGAGCTACTGGAACGGTTCACCTTTACTTCTTGGAGCATTTTTGTAATAACTGCTTTAAAATCTTTCTCAAATAGTTCTAACATCTGCCATCTTGGACTGTGGGGAGGCATGGGACAGGAGTTGGCTGAAGGCGGCAGCCCCTGCCTTGACTTTTCCAAACAAGTCTGAGCCCCCAGGTGTCTACTGGAATCTTTATGCTTAGTTTTCAGACGCCCTTGCTTAAAGGACACTGCAGACGCATGTGTCTTCTCAAGGATGCTCACCCTGCTGATAGTATCTAATAATTTTAGTTCAAGCCGTTGTTACAATAAAAGCCTAAGGAGGCAGGCGAATGGCACCTGTTTGGTTCCTATAGCCAAGCAGTCCCTTAGCCTGCTCTTTCACAGAAACGTGTGTCAGAGTAGTCATGCATCCGTCGCTCAGGGTCTGCTGGTCAGTCCCAGCATTGGACAGCATCTGTTGATCCTCTTCTCCCATGCAAGTGGAGATTTGAGGGTACTTCATATACTGAGAAATTCTGGCCTGGAGATTTTGTTTTAGCACTGAATCAACTTGGTTGTGTTCCGACTGCACATTCCAACCAGCCTTCTGTGGACCATGGTTTCAGTGTTAGTTGCTTTGAGGCCTTTGGCCGGTTCAGACCTGGGCAGTGGTCCATCTCTTGTTTCAAATTCGCAAATGTTTGGTGTGCTGTTTAGCAACAGGACACACACTCAGCCAGGAGTGAGTCCCGTCCACAAGTGACTTTGTGGGTTCCCTTCCTGAGCTCCTCGCTCTTCACCATCTCCGTGGTACTTGCTGGTCCCCAGGGGCTCCCTGTGTCTCTGGCCCTCAGCCTAACACACTGGGTGTATTTACCTTGCTGTGCTCTGCAATCCAACAGCCACACCCATGCCCACGCCCAAAAGGTGGATGGACAGAGGAGACGGAAGCATGGAGACTGGCCCCCACCCTCCTGAGACAAAGCTCCTCTGAGCACAGAAGGTCCTCCGCCCTCAGAACTTCGGGTGTTTGGGTGCTGGCTGCTACTGCTGTCGCTAAAAGGAAATCCGTTTCCCAGTTTGTGGAGCCTGAACTAGAGAGACTCTTCTGGAGGAGTTCCCTCTGTCTGTGCCAATTTCTGGTTTTTCAGACCAGGCCAGTGGACGACAGAAAGAAAAAGAAATTCCACATTTGTATTTTCAGCCCAGACCACTCTCCTAACGTCCACATTTGCACAACCAACTATCAACCTGATTGATTCTGCACTTGGATGTGGATTTTTAAATCAAGCACGTCCGAGCAATATTCCTCACTATCTCTTCCTAACCTGCTCTGTGCACTACTCTCCACCATCAGCCCAAGGGAGCTTCTCAGCTGCCCCAGCCTGCGGCCTCCGGCTCTGTCTCCACGTCCTTCCCTCTCTTATGCTCCTCATTCAGTCTATCAGGAGATTCTCCAACCACACCCGGTGCCTCCCATCACTGCCCCAGGCCAGGCCCAGCGCAGCCACTGGAACTGCAGCCACAGGCTCCTGGCAGGAAGGCACTCCTGCCGCTAGCCTGGAGCTACTGACTGGCATGGTGACCAGACAAATCTTTACAAGCCTAAGATCTCACTGCACCTCTGCTGACACGCTGCTGTGGGTCCTTCTCATTGAGGTAGAGCTGCCATCCCTGCGGGCTCGGACTCCATTCCTATCACTCTCCGCCTCCTGCCTGTCACGGCCGCAGTGGGGGACAAATGAGTGTCCCAGGCTGTGCCCTCTCAGCCCTCTGCCCAGGTGCGCCTTCGTCTCAAATGCTCCCTCCTGCCTGTCTGACAACTTCCTCATTCCTACCAGCCTCATCTCAACTCCAATGTGACCCTCTCAGGAGGCTCCCCTGACCACCTACTTTCATGTGAAGAGCCCGCCCCTCGCCAGACCCCTGGCCCTTCCACCGCGATTCACACGTATTCTGTGCGTGTCCACTGCTCCGAGCGGGTCAGCTGCGTGGCGGCAGACCTTCCCGTGTTTGTTCACGGCTGCACGCCGGCGTCTACACCAGTGCAGGCTCAACAACATTTGCGAGTTGAGTGAAGAAATATGCCTGGAGCGCAGTGTGTTACCAAAGGGACCGGCAGGAGGCGAGGAAGCTAGAGCCGTGCTGGGACCCACGCACAGGCCTTGGGAACAGGGCTGGCGGCTAATGGAAGCCAGTTCCTCAGACGCACGCTCCCGGGTGAACTGCCTACGCACGTCCACGCCAACACCTGCCCATGACGGGGTGGCTATGCTGCCCACACACGGCTAACCTCTCCTACCAGACTCCAGAGGGGCAATTCCAAGAAAGCGCTGTTGCATTACATATAGGTAATACCGGGTGGGCAAGGAGGCTTACAGTTGTTCGTATGGAAAATAACACAATAATCACTAAACAAGAATAAACTGTTTTCATACTCACAACTGTAAACCTACTTTTGCCCACATTGTGTATGTTTCCTCCACAGCAACTAACAAAATGCCTGTCAACAGGGGGCAGCCAACAGCGAGCTCCCCAGCCCCTCATCCACAAAGCAGAGCAGTGGTCCTGAGCTGCTCTCAGCGCCCCGGACAGAGCGCACAGGAAGCCCCACTCACAGCCTGCGCAAGGCCGTCCTGGCCACTCCTCTCCTCTCAGGAGCCGGCCGCACTCAGCCCTGCAAGGAAGGGCTCTGCTATTTGTGGAGTCAAGTTCGCCCTCGCAGGATAACGGTGAGTCACTGCCCAGGAGATTCCAAAGAATAAGTTCAGACTATGATGTCAAGTCGAAGAGGATTTCAATAAAGGCTGCAAACAAAACTTTCCAAAATGACGACTGTGTTCAGGGCAACACACACACAGGATTTAAAAGTCCATCATTACCTCAGACACACCCTAAAATAGAGTGCCAGATGCCAGCCCAGACGCCACCTTGCTCAGCTCAGCCAACAGCGAGGCCCCAGAAAAAACAAACCAGGACTCTGGTTCTGGTCCCGTGAAACCCGAGTGCTCCCATCTTCTTCTTTTCCTTTTTGAGGAACAGTCGATGCCAATAACCATCACTGAAGATGCTTTTCCTGAAAAGTTTCCAAGAAGAGAATGCTAAAACTGAACCCGTGGTGAGTCAGACCTTAACGCAGCGATCAAAGTCATTGTCACCCAAAGTGGACAACCTGACGTTCAGCGCTATCCAATAAAATGAAAATAAAACATAGTGTGGTCCATTCAGAATTCTTGGCAAAGATTTTTAGCCTAAACATGAAGAAATAACTGTCAAATTCACAATATGCAATCCTCAGTAAGATAATTTGCCTGAGCCCTAACCAGTATGGCTCAGTGGGTAGAGCGTCAGCCTGTGGACTGAAGGGTCCCAGGTTCGATTCCGGTCAAGGGCATGTACCTTGGTTGCGGGCACATCCCCAGTGGGAGGTGTGCAGGAGGCAGCTGATCGATGTTTCTAAATCTCAATCCCTCTCCCTTCCTCTCTGTAAAAAATCAATAAAATATATATATTTTTTAAAAGATAATTTGCCTGATTTTTTAAAATTAGTTATAAAAAAAAAAGAGATGGATGACTTGTCTAAATTTCAAAAAAGAAAAGTTCTAACCAAATGCGATGTGTAACATTTAACGAGATTCTGAATTAGAAAAACAAAACAACTATAAACTACATTTTGAAACCCCTGGGGACACCTGAATATTAATGTTATCATTGTTCAGTATGATAATAGTGTTTGGTTATATAACAGTCCTTTCTTATTCTTAGGAAAGGCAGGCTGCAACACTTCAAGTTCACCTTGTTATTTTGAAATGGCTCAGCAAGGAAAGATGGGTGTGCATCTGCGGAGGGAGAATGGAGAGCTGGAGACACATGTGGCAGGAGGCTGTGGGAGGGAAGATCTTAATGAGGGGAGATAAAAAGGTGCATTTCACTGCTTCTCAAATCTCCTACAGTTTAAATATTTCCAGAATAAGAAGCTGGAGAGAAAAGAGCACTGGAAATGCTAGACACTGTGTCCACAGTGGTGCATACCCAAGCAAAAAGCCTCAATAGTCCCCTTGGTCTCCAAACCTCCGGTAGAAGGGGCAAGAAACCATGGCTAGGAATGAGGGAACTTGCCACCAATTTGTGTGCAAACAAAAAAGTTTCTAAACTGTTAAATAAAAAAGATCATAATCCTCTGGACTTGTTTTATTTGATTCTTATAGACACGCGCTAAAGGGTGGTATTCTTTGAGGAATTATTTTTAAAAAAGAGTTTTATTTTAACTACTGAAGGAGAAGAAAACAGGAAGTTGAGCTGCTTTTTTAAATGTGAAAATACTGGAGAACAGAGTAGGGGCTATGTTGTACAAAATCCTCAATATAATTCAGAATACTATAGGGAGGTCCTAGAGTAACAATTATTTTTAAATTGGCTAATGCTTTAAATCATTAGCATTGTATTTGTACAATATTTGTCTACAATCAAATATATATATATATATCCTATCTAATAATAGACAAACAGGGTAATTGACCGTACCTTCGCTATGCCTCCCATTGGCTAATCAGCGTGATATGCAAATTAACCACCAACAAAGATGGCGGTTAATTTGCATATGTAGGCTCCAAGCGGTGGAGTGAAGACTGAAGGCGAGCCGGAGCCACTAAGACGGAAGATGGAAGGCGGCTCCAGCCGTGGCCACAAAGATGGAAGACGGAAGGCGGCTCCGGCCGTGGCCGCAAAGATGGAAGATGGAAGGCGTCTCCGGCGGGGCCGCGAAGACAGAGGACAGAAGGCAACTCCAACCAGGGCTGCAAAGACGGAGGACAGAAGGCGGCTCCAGCCGGAGCGAAGGCCTGGGTCCTGGGTGCCGGAGGAAAACTGGTGCCAGCAGCCAGGAGAAGGGAAGGCCTATTGCACGAATCTCTTCATGCAACAGGCCTCTAATATATATATATATATATATTCCAAACTGCCAAGTACTGGTTTAAGCATATGATGGTCAATTACATTCCATTTTTAAATTATATCTGATATAATACTATTTAAAGAAGTACACTTGGTTTTAATGTTTCTACTTTCCTTTACACCTTCCTCTTCATTAACTATGCACTTTTAATAGTCATTTGACAGCAGACAATTTCCTTCTCAGTATAAACTAAATGCAGAATACTAATCTAAAATCTGCATTTAGTCATGGTCCATTAGTGCTCACGTTCACTGGGGATATTACTGTCTCTTCTAAACAATCATTTTATAATTTAACTTGTTTTATTTTAAGGAAATTTATAAATTATACCTTAAGAATAATCACATTGTCATTCAGGCTCAATTTCAAGTAAACAAACAAAAAAACCTCAATGCTAGGTTTTGATCAGTTGTTTCCCAGTAAACGGCTGTCACAAAGGACAGAGTGGGAACAGTGCACCCCCGGAGCACCAGGTTCACTCCTCTGTGTTTAATAAATAGACAGTCATAGGGAGTTCCGCTTCATTTAGATTAATGTGAAAACATTTTGAATTTTAAGATAAATTTATTTAACAACAAAAAAATATAGCCTGGCTGGCGTGGCTCAGTGGTTGAGCATCGACCTATAGACCAGGAGGTCACAGTTCGGTTCCCAGTCAGGACACATGCCCAGGCTGTGGGCTCGACCCCCAGTGTGGGGCGTGCAGGAGGCGGCAGATCGATGATTCTCTCTCATCACTGATGTTTCTCTTTCTCTCTCCCCCTCTCCCTTCCTCTCTGAAATCAATAAAAATAAATTTTAAATAACAGTATTCATGAGAATACACAGTTCAAATTCAATCAAATTTATAAAAAGTGTGTTCTGATGAATGGCTCCACTACTGAGAAGGACCCTAAAGAACTTAAGCACGTTGGGAAGATCATGCCGATTTCCAGACCTCACATGGCTAGCTCATAACAGATGAAAGGAGCCCCAGTCAATCTGCCGCAGTGATTAGAGTGACAGCCCGCAGACTGAAGGGTTGGTTAAGGTCAAGGGCGCACAGGCTCGATTCGGGCCCTGGTCAGGGCGCATGCGAGAAGCAACCAGTCGATGTGACTCTCTCGCATCAATATTTCTCTCTCTCCCCCTCTATTCCATTCTCTCTAAAAACATCAATGGAAAAAAATCCTTGGGTGAGGATTAACAAAAAAACAAACAAACAAAGATGAAAGGAGCTAAAGCTATCACCCTCATTTCTGTAGTACAATCAATTAAGCTTTTTTCATCTAACCAAACCCAACAGTACTCTTGCACAACTGTTCCACCTTCCAATGGTTTTAAAACAAAACATTTCACATTCAGGACCTGGTAAATATCCAAATGACCAAGTTCATCTTTCTCCCACCCCCTATCTCTGCCATATACTAAGCCCCTGTCCAAAAAAATTTACTTAAGCTAATGTATTACTAAAAACTACTGTATTAGTTTCCCACGGCTGCTACAGCAAATTACCACAAACTTGGTGGCTTAAAACAATGGAAATGTAATTCTCACAGTTTTGCAGGCTAGAGTCTAGAACCCAGATGTTGGCAGGCCTGATTCCTGCTGGAGTGCTGAGGAAGAGCCCCCTGGCTTCCGTGACACCAGCACCCTTGGCCTTCCTCGACTTGTAAATGCATCTCCCAGTCTCTGCCTTTGTCCTCATGTGGTGTTTTCTCTGTTTCTCCTCTTTTGTCTGAGTGTCGTCTTACTATAAGACACTTGTCATTGGATTTAAGCTTCATTCAGATAATCCAGGATGATCTCATTTTAATATCCTTAACCTAATAACATCTACACCGACTTTTTTTCCCAAATAAGGTCATATTCCCAGATTTTACGTGACATATCTTTGGGGGCGGGGGATCATCACTCTCTTCCTAGGATTAGTTTTATCCTCATCCTATATAATAAAAGCCTAATATGCAAATTGTCCCCCGGGCAGTCGTTCAACTGAGAGACCAGGAGTTCGACCACTCGCTATGACTTGTGCTGACCACCAAGGAGCAGCATGGAACATGGCGGGCATCAGCGACGCAGCACTGGCAGCGGGCAGCAGTGGAGGCACTGCCGCCCCAATGGGCCCTGATGAGAGCTGGACTGCAGTGGGATGGTGGAGCAGGTGAGCGGGGGTGCCAGGCCAAGGTGGGTGCGGGTGGGGGCCTGATCGCCCCACTGATCGTCCCACAGATGGCGACCAGTGGCAGCGGCAGGGGGCAGGGCCGCAGGCCCAGCCCCGATCAATCACCCCACAGGCGGGATGGTGGAACAGGTGAGGGGGCAGCACCAGGCCAAGGTGGGGTGCCAGGTGGGGCTGCGGGGCTATGAGGCTGAGGGCATGAGCTGGGGCTGCAAGGCTGGGGGCGCGAACTGGGGCCCAATCTCTGCAGGCCATCCCGAGGGACCCCACCCATGCACAAATTCGTGCACTGGACCTCTAGTCACTAATAAATACTTAAATCTTAAAAGAATTTATGAAACATCATGCCTTCTTTCTAAACCTTGTTTTTATTTCACATATTAGTTATCTGATAATTCTTTTCAATTCTTTTCAATTCTTTTCAATATATATATTTTCTTATAAATCCTTTTTTTGTTTTAATTAATCACTGTGAAAAGCTTGGTATGATAGATATTAAATGTTTTTACCTACAAGAATAGCATTTGTATGGATTACTGAAGTAGAAACCTTAGTGAGCTGCACACATTGATCTGGGCAGTCTTCAGTCTCAATGAGTTATGTTTTAATTTCTACCTATACAACCCATACACCTAATCAGGATAAATACTCTTATAATGATATGGCTAATCATACAATTTTAACCTATTCAGGTACAACATGCCTGAAGTGTTCAATATTGGCATTAATTCCTTACATTATTACTATGATTTCATCATATACTAAGATATCAATGTGCACATCATCAAATGAAGTCTACTTTTTAAATTAACAACTTCACAAAATGTGAATATCTCCAAATTCTCTGCATCAGACAAAGAAACAAACATTTCAGACTTAGATTTCACTATCAACGCTAGGAAACTGCTTCCCCCGTGAGGCTCCCACAAGCAGCAGCTGTCCTTTCTGCAGCAACAGAACAAGCACGCCGCTGCCCACCCCCCAAGCTCTGTCCCGGCAGAGCCACTAGAAACCTGGCGCGCGCGGCAGGGGTGAGTGCGGGCAGCTCTCTGAGCTTCCAAGAATAATGTGATGGCCCAATCATTTGAAACTGAAGAAACCTTTGGAAAAGCCTGGAGAGAGCACACGACAGACACAGCGCCCCCCGCCCCCACCACAGAAGCAGAGAGCGCCGAGGGAGGACTGGACTGCAGAGCCACGACGGCGTTAGACTCTCCCCCAGAATGAGGCCTTTCAGGGACGACCTTTGGGCCTTAGGCCCTTTTTTAAGAACAAATTAAGATGGGCGGGAACAATTCATACCTCCACCAGGAATAATTGCCAACTTTGTCTCAACCAGGCCCATTTTGGCAGAGGAAGCTGAAAAGGAAGGAATAAAATTAAGTAACATCCACATAATCATATTCATTGATGATGACTTTAAAAAGTCAATAAACATGCTATAAATATAGTAATCCCCCTTACCCACAATTTCTCTGCCCATAGTTTCAGTTACCTGAAGACAAATGCTGTCCGAAAATATTAAATGGGAAATTGCAGAAATAAACAATTCCTCAGTTTTAAAACGGCATTTGTGCTGACGAGTGTGAGACCTCTCCGTCCTGCTGCGCCCACCTGGGCTATGACTCCTCCCGCTGCGCTGCGCAGTGTCTCCGGCCACCCATGTGCCTGCTCATCAGTCGCTCAGCAGCCAGGAGGCCCTCAGAGTGAGTGCTCAAGGCACCCCCTTCTTTTACTTAGAAACAGCCCGAGTGCGGGAGTAGTGATGCGTGCAATGTGGGAATGCCGGAGAAGCCAGTGCTTCCTTTCAGTGAGGAGTGTGTGTAAAGGGAAAAACATGGTATGACACAGGGCTCGGTACCACCCAAGCTTCCAGGACTTCCCTGGGGTCTTGGAATGTAGATCCCTGGAATAAGGGAGAACAACTGTATTCTATTTACTAATTAAATGTGTCACGAGTCCTTTTATCACTTCAGAAGGCATTTGGTTAAGAAAATAAGTAACACTCTAAACTATATACAGGGTGGGGCAAAAGCAGTTTTACAGCTGTATGTGAAACAGTTTATTCTGATATTATTTCTTTATTATGTTGCTTTCCATACGAACAACTGTAAACCTACTTTTGCCCCACACTGTACATTAAGAGACTCAAGCATTTTCTGCTAGAAGCTGCTTGGCAGAGAGTCATTTTTGATGCCAAAAGACCAAGGTGGTAACTACTGGTACACAATGTGGCCTGACGCTGCCGAGCCATCTGAAGGTGTGGCTCTGGTCATCACCTGGGATGAGGAGAGAGGCTGTGCCGAGTAAGAACCCTTCAGCGGGGACAGTTCTCCAGGTCAGGCCGCTTCGTGTATCCTGCCGGACACAGCACTTTTCAAGGCCAGGGGGTTTTACTGTCCTGCACTGGACAGGGTGCCTGTTCGTGTTTGTTTTAGGGCTACTTTCAAACACCCTGACTGTCCCTTTACTTGCATCTCCAAAAGCACTGGGACACGTCCCAGATCCTAGTTCCCAGAAGCTGCATTCTTTCAGAAATGGGTTTCATGCACCTTAGCTGCGCCACTTCATTTCAGACAAGAGAGAGATCCAAAATAAAGAGGAAAGGGGGAAGGTGTGCATGGACTAGCAACTGCAAATCCCAAGAAAGTTACCATAAAATTCTGAAAAACACAATTCACAGACTCTATGTTTACCAGGCAGCTCCACCAGAAGGAACAGTGGGAACCTGGGAGAAAAGTGAACTACTTTCTGCCTGCTTCCTCCAGTCCCTGGTCCCGGAGCCTTCAGGTCACCGCCAAGGGAGCAAGGACCAGCTCTGCCATAGGTCAGGAGGCTGTACGGGACAGGGCCAGGTGCGGTGCTCTGGCAGGCTGGCAGGCGTGAGGGCTGACACCGGACTGCCTGGTTCCGATCCCAGTTCAGTCACTGATCTGGGGCTGGTTACTCCACCTCTCTGCCCGGCTTCCCCAAGCTCCACAGAGTACTTACCTCATCAGGCTGTTGCGAAGATGAAGCGTGTTACCACATGTCAAGTGCTGAGAATGAAGCTGGGCACCAAGTCAACACTCAGCACATGGCTAGCACTAATAGTTTTCATTATTCTTTTCATAGTCACCTCATCCAATCCTCAGTAAACCCCCAGGAAGAAAGTGAAGCCCCAGGAGATGAAGTTATTATTTCTATAGCTAACAGTAACTAAGTGCATGGACTAGACACGTGCCACAGATAAAGTCACTCAATCTTCACAACTGCAACCATGAATTCCCCCAATTCAGAGGAGGACACTGGTCAAAAAGGGCAGGACCTAAGGTTCACATTCAGTTGTGTCTGACCCAGTTCCTGTTCTCCGTTCCTGCTGATGAGAGTGAACAAGCGACTATAGAAAACGGTTTTCTTCACTGGAATCTGAAGCACTTCATTAAGTCCAACAGGTGATTTTTTTTTCTAAATATTCTACTCAACAACAGGAAAAGAATAAAATATTTGGAATTTTCTGGAGACTAAGAAAAAACACACCTCATTTTTAAAATGTTATATTAATAGAATGATTCTCACCTGCCACTCGTATGTCACATGCTAATGCCAGTTCCAGACCACCACCTAACGCGAGTCCGTCCAGGGCAGCGATTGTCGGCACTGGCAGGTTCGCTGCAATAGAAAGAAGGGTGTCATGCCTCTTTAGTAAGTTACCTTACTGTGTAATTGACCTTAGATTTTCTCCTGTAAATATATTTTTAAATGGGCTATTGCATATAGAATTTTGTGTCCCTTTTGCCTTTAACAAAATACCATTTCCTTCATTGTTGTCCCATCATATAAATATGCAATAGTACCTTTAAATCTTCCCATATTATTGATACTTTCATAAATACTTTTTGTTGAATCAACAAATTCAGACAGATGTCAAGTCTAAATGACTTAGTCCATGACCCTCCATGGGCTCCCTTGTGCTGAGGACGACCCTCTCATTGGAAGAAGTAACCATCTCCTCCAACAAGACAGAAGCAGCCCGCGTGGCTCGGGGGCATCAACACACTCGCTCTGTCCTTAGTCACCAGCACAATGCGCAGCCGCTGGGAGGTCACCGGACTCCACCTCATGCCACACTTCAGCTGGACGAAGCTCTGAGAAAGCTCCGGAAGCCTACCCACAAGCATGATGGGGAAAAGGTCAGCCAGTCACAGAACACAAACCAGACTCTCCTGAGTGCAGAGACAGCATGGTACCGACTGAGACCATTGTACAGTTAAATACTCAGGTTTCATTTTCATAACTGAATGTGGTGTCTGACGTGGGAATGTGAGCTGGGCGACCTGGCGAGGCACGGAAAAGGAAAGCTGCTCTCTTCCAGACAAGACGCCACCAGCGCCAGCACCCCAAGGGAACTGACCCCGGAATATTTTCTTCTCAAGCTTAAACCTTCGCTCATGACCCCAGAGCAAAAGACACTGACACTTGCTACCAAGATTCATAAAAGCATTCTATTTTTCAATGCAAAGCTTCACATTTCCATAGTCGAAAATAACATAGGAAGGGTTCTGCTTCTTAGGACGTGGCGTTAAGAGGCACCATCTCAACTGTCCTCACCACAGAAGAGAGCCGTGTGACCTGACAGAGGTGTCAGCTAAGCTGTGGTGGTCATCACACTGCAATATTTAAATATAGCAACTCAACAAATAGACACCTTCAGCTTATAGAATGTTATAAAAGTAGGTAAAATAAAAAGGTACCATCCCTAAAAATCTCTCTCCCACAGGTATGTGAAATTCCACAGACCAAAAGGCTCATCCCTCGAGCCCTTGAAAACATAAAAATGTGCTGAAGTGCAGAGACTTCAGTCCTCAGGCTTCTTCTAGGAGCAAAGCCTGCGGAGGCTGGGAGCAGCATGCCCGGCGCTGACACAGGCACGGCCCTGTCTGCACCCTCGCAGCACAGCAGGGCAGTGGGGCCTGACCGGGCAGCTCAGAACCCAAGGGGCTCCCTCCCTGTGATGTGCTTTAGACCTCGGTGAAGAAACGAACAGAAAGCCAGGTTTACAGAGTATGAGTTTAATGAAAAAACACAACAATGTCTTGGTTCATTTATCTGTCAAAAAGGAAGAAAAATCAATAAACAAATATAATGGCAACTTAATCTGAGTGGCTCCCAAGGTCATCTCCAGTCACTACAAATAAAATGGCATCACTTTGTTCCAGCTCTCACCAGACTCCTTCCCCACTACCACCTTCCCAATCTCATCTCTCCCCTCAAAACCCGCCCCTAGGCCTCACTGTGGCCTCAGCTCGTCTACCTCTAAGCTTCTGGGCCCACTCCCACTTACCTCCCCTCCCAGCTCTAGTCCCACTGTAGCTCCTGATACTGTGCTTGCTCCGCTTACCAGTGACACCATGAGACTGTCCCATAACCAATGGGCATCACCTGGTCCCCAGTAAACTGAAGATCAGAGACATTCGCCTTGGAAACTCCTCCTTGAACACTCTCTTCATCTGCCTGCTAGGGCCCTCCCTCATCTTTCCTGCCTTCGCTTCTCCCTCTGGTTAGGTCTCAGCCTTCCTCCCCTCTCAATAGGACTCTACCAGGAGGTCTCATTCCCACCCTAACTTTTACCCCCTATTTAAATACCAACAATGTCCCAATTTCTACCCAAACGTCTCTCTAAACTGAATCTCCATGGCCACCTGCTTGTAAGACATCTCCACTGAAAAGCTTTATCGTGCTCAAACCAACTTCTTACCAATCCTTCTTCTAGAGTCTATACCACATTTGGTAGCACCTCCATCCACCATGTTACCCAAGTAGACATCCTGAAGTCCTCCAGGTGTCCTCCTTTCCAATGCCTTGCATCCTATTGCTCTCTGAGTCCTGTCCACCAGCTCACACATCTGCAGTCCCCCTCCCTTTCCAAAGCCAGGGTCCCGGGTACCTCATTTCTCACCAGCAGAAAGTCTCAAATTGACCTTCCTGCAATTTTCCCCTTCATATTTCCTGTTAGATAATCTTCCTAAAGTGCAAACATAGTTATGTTATCCCACTATTTAAAACTGAAAACTGACCGGGCCGGTGTGACTCAGTGGTTGAGTGTTGACCTATGAACGGGTCATGGTTTGATTAGCGGTCAGGGCACACGCCTGGGTTGCAGGCTCCATCCCCAGCAGGGGGCATGCAGGAGGCAGCCGTCATCACTGATCTTTCTCTCTCTCCCTTCCTCTCTGAAATCAATAAAAATACATTAAAAACAAAACAAAACAAAACCTGTACAATGATTTATTCCACATTGAGGATAAAAAGGGAGAAACGTCATAGCACAGCACAGGAAGCACCTGATGAACTCAGTTCTGTCCACCTGCACAACCTCCTCTCCAACCTCAGACACCTACTCTGTGCTTCAGCCCCAAACTACTTACAGCCCCCAGAAGGCATTTCCATCCACGGCTGTGCACAAGCCGCGCCCTGCCTGGAATGCCTCGCTAGCCCCTGCTGCCTTTTGAGGCATTGCTCCTCCAAGTCCCTCCTGTTGTGCTCCCATGGCACTCTGTGCACACTTCCTCTCAGCAGCCAGCTCACGGCCATTCTGAAACAAAGGCCAGTGACGTCACACCAATGGTGGTCAGCAGGGTGCTTCTTACCGCCCGCCCACCCGGGACAAACCACAAGGTTTTTCACTGCTTCTGCTGTCTCCCTTATGCTGAACCTGGTATTCCCCCTACTTTTCTTTTTATTAATAACTTCTTTCACTTAATATTTTTTAAATGGCATGAATATCAGCAGGTTACAGAGCTACGGAAAAGAAACGGCAGCATTCCTAAGCTTTCAGAGCAACAGGAGGGAAGGACGGGTATTCTCTCCTTGCTGTGGGAAAATGCTGGCATGGGGAGTGCTAAAGGCACTCAAATATCTGTTGCAAGCTGACTCCTCTTAGAAAGAGAGATAACAAAAGTGAGTTTTAAAGGGCCCCCAAACGCAAACTCAGGCCTGAAATATGTGTACTACTAAGTTCCATTTCTGAAAATTCCAACCCATCTAATATAATAATAGAGGAATATGCAAGTTAGCCGGACGCCGTAACATCATGACCGATCTACAAGGGGCAGAGAGCTACAGGAGGGCGGGGAAGAGAGCTACGAGCACAGTGCTATTAGTAGTAAATAAATAGGAACAAATTGATGTGATATATATGGAAAGGGGATTTTTCTTCACATCAAATTGTGCACTGATAATAAAGACTAAGTAGAAGGGCTGAAGGAATAAATCAGCTGTAAATTACAAAAGTAATGTTCCATACCTTCCCAAGCCTTGAAGCACAACAGAAAGAACACGGGAAGCTTACAATTCTTGGTCATTTACAATGTTCTTAACACTGCAACTCAGAGGGACAAATGCCTCAAAAAGAGTTGGCAAGGCTTCACTCTCCATTTTGATTAGTATTCTCAAATCAATATACTTACAAATATCACAGCCGACAGAAAGTTTAAAATCTTTATTCTAAAAATATAGTCATTAAAAAATTTTACTGTACATAAAAAACACAAATAAAATTAGTTAAATGCCCTCCCTTCCCCATCACTGTGAGCGTTACTATAAGCTAACCTTATGCTGATAAAACAAATGATGTGGAAGGTAGCAGGTTCTACATAACTTAGAGTATGGGATTTACATGATGCAGTGATAGAAAATGAGTAGAAATAAACAAATGCAAATATGCTGATCTGGGAAGTGAGGGAGCAGGAGTGACTGAAATGAATCTTCTCATTGCTTAAGTGTTCTTAATTTTGAAATCAGAGAATATAACACTTTTTCCTCCACATACTTAAACTTTTGGAAGTAATAAAATTTTCAAGCTGCTGTAGGTCAGTGGTTAGAGCACTGGCCTATGCACCTTGCAGGCTCGAATCCTGGTCAAGGGCACATACCTGGGTTGCAGGTTTGATCCTCAGCCCTGGTAGGGGTACATGCTAGAGGCAACCAATCGATGTATCTCTCTCACATTGATGTTTCTCTCTCCCCCCCTTCTCTCTCTCCCGCTCCAACCTCCCACCCTCTCTAAAAATCAATGGGAAAATGTTTTTAAATTTGACAGTTAAGACCTTAAGAAATTTTCTCAAGAGGATAGAAGTTTTTAAAATTATAACTTATATGAAATACATAATACAAAATGACAAGAAATGTGGGGGTCCTTATTAAAAAAAAAGGAAATTAACACACTCAAATCATTAAATAAACTACGTGGTACTTTCAAATATTAATTAACATAAATTAGCATTGTACAAATCATTAAGTACATTTTTCCTCCTAAAGAATTATTTAATATTACAGCTTAGTATTCAATGAGCAATTAAATTTCAACCATTTTAAAAGATTATGAATCCTGAAATTATACATAATCCTAATATTTCTCTGATTTTCTTTCTTTTTAAAAAATTAATTATTTAATTACAATTGAAAGATGTTTTTCTTAGTAAATTTTTTTCAGGAAAATATGAGTCATCTCAAAACACGTTAGTTTCATAGTTAACAACTGGGTTTTACAGCTCGTATTTCTACCTGGGAGCATTTAATAATCTTAGTGAAAACTCAATAAAGCATACCTTTAGGAAGGCAGGTTATCAGTTTCAAAGAACTGAGAAATATCAAAATGGCAGTTGTATAGG